GATTTCACTTGAAGAAAAGATTAAATGTCAAGCTCCCTGAAAAGAAGAAAAAGGAATTTAATGTGGACTTATGGGGCCAAGGTTAAAACGTACAAGTTATGATTTTGGATTGGTAATACTGGAATTTATTCTTGGATTGGGATCGTACAATAATGTTTATGGATTTTATTGTTATAGAAAATAGACTTAGGTGTTTAATAACTATAGATTAACCGATACTTCAAATGTTGGCAAGGTCCTTGGGATAATACATCTGTATAAATTTCTTTAACATTGTTTCTATTTAGAAATTACTTTTGGGATTTTTGCTTGTAACTGAAAGAAATGAAATTTTGACTTTGAGATTTGACATTTAGAATTGTTTTTGCTATAGAAATATTGTGTTTTATTGATAACTTCTAGAGTAAGAAGTTAATGTATTATTTTACTTATAACTGTACCGAAGAAAGTTGAAAGTTGTTCTTATTTTCTGTTTCTCTTTCCTCCCCACCTTTTTTCTTTCTTCCTCACATTTCTTTATTTCTTTCTTTTCTATTTTTCCTCTGATGTCTTTGTGTATTTTATTCTTGTTTGAAACTTAATAAAATTTTTATTATAAAAAATTTAAGCACTATGACATATAACAAAAGCTTGACCTATCTTTATCCCTTGCAGGGTGAATGTGCAGACTCCAGGCTCAGGCATTCCCCAGCTGTCAGTCTGCATACTGGACTCACTCAGACATAGACTCCATGTGGGAGAGGTGCTGCATGTAGGGCCAGGCAGGTTCCCCAAGCCCCTCCCTCTGCTTGAGACCCTTGAATGCTTCAGAGGCGGAAGCTATGAACTTCCCATCTCCCCAGCAGCTTTTGATTAAGGTCTGGAATTTCCAAGAAGTGGGAAGCTCAGGTGACTGAAGCAGGAGATGTCTCTTTCCAGAGGATTCTACTTCTGTAGAAAGAGAAGTAGAAATATAGAGAGACCAGTGAGGAGTTAACCTTAGGATTTTGATCTTTGTTTTTCTATGCTGAACTTAAGTCTCTTATCTACTAGTTAGATAAGATATGCACAATGTAGGAAACTCTGCATATTCCTGGCCTTTTCATTCTTTAGGCTGGGCATGATAAATATTATTATTTTTTCTTTTTACAAAGGTTCTGGCAAGGAGAATGAACCTGGAGCATTTCATTTTCCCTTGTAATTTTTATTTTAAATTGCTCTTCATATTTGAACAGTGCTGTAATTGTTTTCA